CTGAATATACCGACAGCCATTGTGCTGGATAATTTAAATGGGTGCAGTGTATGTCATGTGAATGCTATCTCCATACACTTTTTCAAAAAAGAATGGTTCATTAAATTCATCTCACTTCTCAAGATTGCTGTTAAAACAAGTCAATTTTTCATAAACAAATATGCACATGGGCAAAATAAAATAGACCTTCTGCACTCAGAGGGAAGGAATTGCCACAGCCTGTAATGTTTGCAGTCACCCAAAGAAAAGTTGACAACACAGATTCATGTCAGGACCACTCAACCTGTCTATTGCCCAGATGAAGAATGAAACTGGACCATGTGTGTTCCCTTTGTTTACGGAATCCCTATCCTTTCTTCTTTCTGTCATTACAGAGACTGTGGATTCTGTCAGCTGAGAGCTAGGAAAGAACTTAAGAACTCATGAGATCCAAGATGAGAAAGCTCCATGTTTTAGGCAGTGGAGAAGACAATGATTATATACAATAACAAATCCAATGACCTCTGAGCTCAGCCAGGACAGTCACATCTGTCAGTGCCCCAGGCAAGGGAACTCTGCAAGAAGTTGTCTGAATAAATGAGGTAATGCAGGTCTAGACACAGACAACTTGGCACTTATCCATATAGTATCTTGTTTTTATCATCTAGCATGTGACTGCTTGTCATATCTCCCCAGTGAGATTTTTCAGCTCCTGGATGACAGGAACACTGCTGGTAGCTAAGGCACTTTGTTCTCCACATCCTCTTACCACCCTTTTTTAAGCATTGCTAATGTGGCACAGTGCTCCATGCCCAAGCCTTCAATAAAGAACTGAACCTATTTCACAGTCTCATAGTATTAATGACTTTTGTTTTCTTTTTTGAGACGGTCTCACTATTAGCCCTGACTGGCCTGGAACTCGCTATGTAAACCAGATGGGTCTCAACTCATAGAGATCCACTGGCTTCTATCTTCCAAGTGTTAGGATTAAAGGCATGTGCCACAAGACTTGGCCCAAGACTTTTTAAAAAAGTGATATTGTCTTTGGGCAACCATTATTTACAGGGTGGAATGACAAAATCTATGTAACAGGCCAGCTATCTCATGACTGACTGACGATGATCTCTCTTTGAAGTTCCACTGTCAAAGGACTTGATCTTGAAGAAATGTAATGCAACCCTCATTTAAACAGAAGCAGAAGCCTTCAACAGCAACATGCACTTGCCCTGGGAATGTATCTTGCCTTTACCCTGAGTCTCCCAAAGGCCCACTCAATCCAGTCAGACCGATGTGTACTAACTGCATCTTCTGATAACTATCTCATAGCTAACTCTCCCTTTTAACATAACCGCAAACAGGATTTTTATCATGGAAATGGAGGAAATAATCTCTCTGCAACATGTCCTTATATAGATCATACATTCCAAAAATTATAGGCTCTTTGCTATTGAAATCTGATGGTTAGTCATGGAGTTCAATATGTAATTGGAAAGTCTATAGTTAAATGTCATTAGCCAAGATAAATTACAGAGAAAACTATGCAAACATAAAGATATTCTCAGAGTATAGTGTGTTAGCATACAGTAAAGCAAAAACAACACCGTTCACAAAGAAAGATCACAGGTGCTACTGCTGACAGCTCTGTGGGTAAGGAGGGAACTCCTCAGCTCATGTAGTTAGGACTTTCTAACCCCGTAATATGATCCATCAGGCCTGGCTTCTTCCAACACAAATTCACTCCCCTGTATGCATCTCTGCTGATATGGTTCAGCCTCGAATGTTCCATCTGTCTTCCCTGACCATTTAGCTCCATGAACTAATCACTCTTGGCAAGGCTATCTCTTTTCCTTCTGTCTTTAAATTCTGTGCATTTTCATGTGACATGAAATGCTCTATTGCCTGCTCTTCATGGATGGGGCTTTTTTTTTTTTTTCAAGAACATAAGCTCACCATCTCTTCATTTACTCCATACATGGGGAGGTGGGGTGACTGCTCTAAGGAGTTATCTGGGGCTGAGCATTTTCCTATTTCAGGAGTAGGGCTGTACTATAGGAATTGAAATTCTCTTTTCTATGTGCTATAATCTGACTTGATCTTCTGGAACGAGAGAGATGCCCGTGCCAGCCACTGCGGCCTATGCTTCATGCTGGGGTTCCACATTAGAATAAACCCTATCCTCCAACCTGGCCTTTGTTAGTAATAAAGGTGATGTCTGAGCCTCATTTGTAGTGATTTTAGCCTGTCTTCTAATGCTTCTCAAAGCTTAGGAAAAAGGCACAGGAGTGTTTTTATTACGGTTTTCACTGAGAGGCCACTATTATTCCTCTATGTATGAATACATATACTGACTAGATGGCTTTAAAAAGTGATGTATGTTGTAAATCTTTGCAGTTCAGAGCTTACTGACAATACATAATGTATATTGAAAGTAAACTCAAACATCTTGAGTAAACTCAAAAATGGTTCAGCCCCTTAACACATCAGCCAACTAAAGATAGAAAAGGAACAAAATCGAACTGTAACACTTGTGATTCTGTAATGGTTATGGCTTGATTAGAACATTTCTGATCTCACTGTTCAGCAGGGTGACTAGAAAATTAATATGGGCAGGGTGAGTATAAAATTAATATATGCCACACACTGTGATCCTGTAGAGTAAATCTAATTGCACATTGAGCCAGAAGAGGGAATAAAAGATAAGGCACACACTGATTGATTTTCTTCATCAAAACCTGCAGGATTTCATTTCAACAAAACCCTATCATTAAATTGACAACATTTCTAAGAGTGAATTTTATGTGATGTATGTCCTGATCTAATGTCCAAAGGAGTGACAGTAATCCATTATATGCTGAGTTTTCATCTATCTATACCTCAGAGCCTCATAATATTTATATGTATTCACCTGCACATAAAAGCTATTAATGTACAAAAAGAAATGATTTAGTCTTCTAAGTATATATAATTTCCAGTGGTTTCCAACAAAAAAAGATTAAAGGAATTATAATTAAGTCTAAATGTACACAATATTTCTAAGTCAAATAATTTACAAGAAATTATCAATCTTCCTCAGTTTTAGTGTCAGAATACTAGTTTCTGAAACTTAAATATGCATCTGTTGAATGCTAACTGCACGCTTTTACTGGCATAGCACTGACACGAAGTAACAGAACACACAATGACAACACTGGTTACCACTGCCCAAATCAAACCACCATCTTTTGGAACCCAGAGATGGGATGAACATTTCCCCTTGATTCTCAGACTTCCAGTCCTTTGTTAGACTTCCTTCAAAAAGCAGAGCGAATCTTGTCATATACTGTGTACAGACAGGGAACTGACTCTGGTTCAGTGATATTCTGAGGACTGGCAGGACTGGCATTACAGCCCAAACTCCGACTCAGAGTAGCTAATCACTCATCTGGAGACTGAATGTGTAACTATTGAGCACCTTCTGTGTAACTAACCCTGTACTGCGACTGGGATACAACAGGTCGCTTGATCTCCTGGCTCTGACTCTAGTGACCCTATTTGACATAGGACTAAGTCATTAACATGCACAAGGTACATTACATGCACAAATTTTTATTTTTAATGTGGATAAAAAGTACACCTTTTTTTCTGAAAAAAAAAAGAGGAAAACCTAAAGAAAGCTGCCTTATAGTTAATGTGGCTTAATCATTTACTTTACAACTTAAGCACATGTTCATTGTTCCTCCCCAATGATCAAAATAGAATGATGGTGTTCCAATTAAAATTCAGACTCCAAATTAAAAGTGTCCTTTGGCATTTTGCAATGAAGCATTTAATCTTCTAGCAAATGAATGAGAATTTAATCACACAAATTAGTCTACTTCATGTCCCAAAATGTCATAATTTATCTACTGAAGCAAACTTAGGTTTAAACATTTACAGTATAGGAAGAGCTGTGAAATTTGCTGGGAAGATCCTCTTTGGAGGTGTTAGCTTTCTGTATCTAAGGTCACAGGAACCTAAGTCCCACCATGGCTCTGCAGTTTTCCATCAGAATTTCACTCTTTCACAAGGGCAGCTGTTGTGAAGTGCCAACCACAGAAGAGAGGAGACCAAAGCTTAGTCATGAAGCCAAACAAAAAAACACCCACAGCGCTTTTACTTTTTCTTTTGAGACAGGGGCTTTCTAAGTAGCCCAGTTTGGCCTTAAACTTCACTATTTTCCTGCCTCAGCTTCTGGAGCGCTGGGATTACAGATGTACACCACCTTGACGCTCACTGTTTTTATCTATCTTTGTCTGTAAGCTAATTAATGAATAGTAAATACATTGGAGAAGTAATTTAATTCCTACCTCCTGGTAGGAAAACTAAAAGACAGACAAGGAAACATGATGCAGAGAAAGCTGGAAAGCAATGAAAAGAGAAAAGGAAGTGCCTAAGCCAGACATGGCTGACTCCAAAATCATAGTCTCCCACCCCTGCCAAAATGTTGGGGCAACCCTGTAGCACATGTGCACAGGAGAAATCAAACACAGAGCCACCACCTCACATCTCCCTGAAGCATCCATCTGCTAAAACAGCAGAGTCCAGGTAAATCTGGGTGCTGCATACCTTTCTACATGCTCCAGGGGACTCTGATTTCTCTTTGTCTTAACAGTCGACTTTTCATGAGATAATTTGTGTGTATGGGTGTGTTTAAAATCCTTTTAGTAAACACAGTATTTTCTTTTTGTGTAGCATGCTTTTCTGGGTCAATCTATAAGCTGCCTGCAACATGGCTTGAGTGCTGGCACACATACTGGATGCCAGCTCTGTTGAATCCTGTGTGAAGGCTGACCCACAGTGCCTAGAGGCTCTAGCTTAGGTAACATGAGCACTACCATTTCAGAGTGCCTGTTAGATGCAGTAAGAGGAAATAGAAAAGCAAGACCTCAGAGAAGTCTAATTGATATAAATCACCATCTGGTGCCCTTTACAAAGCACTTAAGCCTTTTGAAGTAATCAGGCCCCAAACTGGCACGTAAATGACCACAGAAGGATGCATCTACCTGTGTATTTCTTTATGTTGGATTAATTGGAAATCCCAATCTTCCGTTCAACCCTCCTGGGGTTGTTAGTTTGCTTACATATAGAAGATTTTAGCAACCTAGAAAAAAACAAAACAAACAAACAAACTTTAAAAATGGCAGAAGAGGACTATTTAAAGAAGGACTTTATTCCATAAGTCTGTTTCAAGTCTGCCATTAGGAATGGCAAACGCATTCTCTCATTAGAAAGATGAGAAAATGAGGGTTAGCGTGTCTGAAGACAAGTCATGACAGCTGCTACAAAGTTCCATGACTCTACAGAAGACAGAGAATGATGGACTCTGAACTCTACTGTTGTCTAATGTTTCCTTTGATCTTTATAGAAATACTCACCAAGTTACTATTGGTAAGTAAATACTGTTATGTGTTATTTTCAGTTATGTCAAAAATGCTTTTCCATGTTTCAAGAACAGTCTCTGGATTTTTTAAAAATTATAAGCTATCATGCATTTTTGTATCTTTAGTCATTTCCTTATGTTATATAGTTCCCAAATTTTCTTTTTTAAAAACATGAAGTGAATTCCACATATTTTTCCTCCATGACACCAAATCATGATCTCATATGATAAATATTTAGCATCCTGGAAAAGAGCTATTTCCCTATCAAGAGTGAGATGATTCTTCCTCTTCTCAGCTAACCTGTAGGTGACAAGGCTGATTTCAGAAACTGAATAGTGATGTTGTATAATTAACTAGGATAAGCTTCTAATGTGGTGGTGGTGGTGATGATGACAACGATAACATCAATAGCCACTCCACTACAATGTCTACAGCATCTACCACCTGCCAGGCATCTTATAAGGATTATTCCTCTTCTTTATGACATCTTTTATGAAGTGGACATTACTTCCCATGTTAAACATGAAGGGGGGTTAAGTGGCTGATCTAAGGCCATGCTCTCTCCATTGCCTCAAACTGGCTGGTTCTACAAAACCATCTCTGTGAACAGGACCTGATGATGCAAACCTGTAATCCCAGCTACTCAGGAGGCTGAGACAGGAGAATCATAGGTTCAAGGCCTGTGTGGGATATTGAATGAGCTTAAGGCAAAGTGTGGGCAACTTAGCAACACCCTGTCTCAAAATAAAATAAAAGTAAAAATGCCGGAGATGTAGCTCAGTGGTAGAGTACTTTTCTAGCATGTGAGAGCCTTTTAGGCTCAATACTCAGAGTTGCAAAAATAAACGATTAAATTAATTTTATTTCAAAAAGATCACTGGATAGGACTATGGATCTGCAAACACTTATTCTCTAAAGACATGAATATGCCTGTTATGTGAGACTTCGTAGTAAGTCTTGATGTGCCACCCTCCAGTTTAGGTGGGAGGACCTCCTGGGTTACCAGCAGAGGACCAGTGACATAGTGACAGCAGCAGCTGCCACAACTGCAGGAGGCGGCTGAGAAAAGGACACTGAATTGATGTTTTAGCTCAGTGCACTTAACCACTTGCTATTTCTTTAAGCATTTCAGCTATTCTGAAGCCTGATGGTGGGTGGCATTTCTCTCTGGATCAGAATGTAAAATCATCCTTAATTTGACAGTAATTGAGCTATACCATTTCTTTACATGTCTGATCAAAATACAGTGTTGAAACTTTATAGATAATTAAAATTTCAGGAAGTATTTAGGGATTCTTATTAACATATGATATTATCACTAACCAAAGAAAAATATTAATATTTCAGATCATTGTTCAGTATGTGGACCTGTTATTCTTTGGATTATTTTGTATGAACAAACCCAACTCCTATGTCACACAAAGGCTACTATCTTTGCTCAGAGGATTAGAATCAATTTATGGCTTCAGCTTTCCATGTAAATGCTGTCAATGTCTCTGTTGTTCTTGGAAAACAAAGGCTACTCCTGCCTAAGTTTTCAAATAAGAAACTGAAATTAAAGTACTATGAAAATATTTGCTGGATAAAACAAATGCCAAGATCAAAGATACTAAGGCACTGAGTGGATATTAATTATCCCACTAATCCGTTTGTATTTCAAAGCTTATTTATTTGTATTCTATTCTTCTGTGCTCTTCACTAGTTATCACAGTATAATTTTAAATTCATAAAAGAGAATGCAGAGCTAATAATATAAAGAGCTTTAGAATAATAGTCAAGTAAGACTGATGAGGATGAAAATGCATTTATTATCTGACTATGCTCTTTGGATGAATTAAAAAATGATAATGTCATGTTAGAGTTTTAACTCCTTACCCCTAGATAAGGAAGCCTTGCATTAAAGAACAGAGATTCCATCTCAAAGCATTAATGATGAATGGTTTTAAAGTGGCAACTCAATCAATTAGATAATTGTGCTCTTTTTAATATGTTCAACTAATGGAAGTAAAGCTTTAAGAATATTCCTTCCTTCTACCATTTCCAAATTCTTAGTTGTGAAGCTGTGACCCATCTCCCGTGACAGATATATCAATAGCTATTACCAATATACGTTATTGAACTTTTTGTGGGACTAGAAAGGAATTTCTGGGCTAAGGCTTGAGAACACCAGAATGGGGAAGTTTGGTTAATTAAAAGCCTAGGTCACTATCCTCAAGAAGATTATGCATTCAGGATAATCAACAGACAGGTCATCATAGCAGATTAGACAGAAGCAAGGCAGAGAAGGGCAGTATGTTGACATATGGTTGTGTATGGACAGGAACAGGAAACTCAGAAGGATTTAATTTCCAATAGGAAATACACACAAATCAGTTTGGCAGATGCTGATTTTAAGGTGGACATGGGGCATGATGTAGAGAAATTTGACAAGTTGATAAAATTTAAGAATAAAGATCTCAGGGGAAAGATTAAAGTACTAAATGAGATCAAGGAATGCACCAATTTATGTAAAGGGCCTGGGTATACATATTTCAGATTTTGTATGTCACATATTCCCTCACAACTCCAACTCTGCCACTACAGCACAAAAGCAGTCATGAAAAACAGCTGAGGGATGGTCACACGGCTGTTCCAATAAAACTTCATTTACAGAAAACAGGTACTTAAATGTATTACAGTGAACCCTGAATTGCATGACAAATGAAGTTTGGGGAATGTATAAGGTCATCCACAGAGAACATATGGAAAACAAATTTGTCTGTGATGAAATTTAAAACATGCAATTCTCAACTGGCTGTTCGGTTCAATATGGCTGTATACTGTATACACAGTTTTCAGTGAGTCTCATGGACAACTGTGGGTTCTAGGTCAGACTGTGAATAATGGGGCAAGCTAATTAACCTCTGGGCTCAACTGTTTTGACTTCAAATGAAGACAATGATGATTACAGCTAACAGTGGACCAAAAAACATATTAACATTAATACCAGGCCTCAACACTAAGTGCTGTTATTGTCTCTTCTTTTTATGAATGAGGGTGTGGAGACACAAAAGGCTCTAAAAAATCATGGCCAAATGACACAGTTAGTGTACAGTGAAAAGTCTCACTCCAGCCCAGCCAGTGGGCCCTATACCCCCCTTCACTGCTAAACACATATACACCTCAAAAGATCATGAGAGGATTGGATAAGAACCAATGTACACCACTGTGACACATCTACAGTGATGTTAACAGCTTGAGGCTGTGATAAGGACAGGACAAGGTTGGCCTTGCCTAAGATACTCTCCTCACTGGAATTCCAACATGAGCTTTAAAAGAGCCTTCATATGTGTAACTGCCCAGCTGTCTGGACTCTATTTCCCTGTGGTCATCCACCACCTCTGGCTCTTATAATCTTTCTGCCTTCCTTTTCCACAATGGTCCCTGAGCCATGGGTGACAAGAGTTTGATTTAGGTGTCCTATTCAGGGATAAGTACTCTGTGGTCTCTTATTCTCTTTACATTGGTCAGTTGCAGGTCTCTGTGTAAATCACCATCTGCTGCATAAGAAAGCTTCTCTGGTGAGAGTTGAGAGATGCATTCATTTATGGGAGTAAGAATAAGCCAGTGAATGGATCCATATTGAAGGATATTTGGGAACGCAAGTTTGACTCTATAGGCTATATATATACATATATATATATATATATAGTGTGTGTGTGTATATGTATGTATATATATGTAATATATATGCTAGCTATGTAATTATATATTACATGAAATTGGGCAGGAGTAGTAGGGGATGGAGATAGGGAGATCTAAATTTGATCAAAATGTATGAAATTTGCAAAAACTCAATAAAGTTTTTAATAAAGAAAAAAAAAACAGGCCTTCAAGCCAACTCCATTGTTATTTTCCAGTCTGCTTTTCTCCTGAAGAAAGGAGTAAGGAAAGGAAATTGCAGCAGCTTTGCATCCGCTGGCCTGGCATTTTGTTCACTTCTACCGAGTATTCTAGTCCATTCTGGTTTACTCTTAGCTCACAGAAACTTGTAAATGAATGGTTTCTTTGCATGCTGGTGTTCAAACCTGCTTTGAAAGCCTGCAGGTCCATTTTGGGATCTGTGGCAAATTATGTTTTAATAAGCCTTTGGTCTTGGCAAGAATTAAAAATAGTGTTCAGAAAATTAAGAACAACGGTAACAAGAAAGAGCTTCCACAAAGGCATTTTGTTCAAGCAACCACCATTATCCTGAGATCCAGCAAGAGCCATCTTCTGCAGTTTCCCAAGGCCACCCCAGGTCCCATCAATTCTGTTTCTCTCCACATTTACTATTAACAGTACTTACTGTCATTGTCCTTTCTGCTAGAGAAGGCGTCACTTGGTTGATGGCACTGGAGCCATTTTTACTTTTTCTTTGCTAAGTAGAACAATGTCTAGTAAAGGGCTTTACGCATATGAGAGCAAGAACTAAAAACATTCAAGAACAGCCACTTCCTACAAAAGAAGAAAAGACTTGTTATGAGTAAAAACAATGACTTCACCGTGTTACTAGTTTCCCAAACATTTTAAAAAGTTTAATAATTAAGCTGGAGAAGTGACTCAGTGGTTAAGAGCACCAGCTGCTCTTGCGGAAAACCCTTGAATCCCAGCACCTACATGCTAACAGCTATCTGTAACTCCAGTTCCAAGGGGATCAGACACCCTCTTCTGGCCTCCATGAGCACTGCATGACATGGATGCATTTACATGCAAGCAAAGCACTCATATACATAAAATAAAAATAAATTTAAAACATTTTTAAAAATTTAATAATTTAGCATACCTAATTATTATTTAAATCTATCAATTATTGCTAGAATGGAATAGAAGTCAGTTTTGGGGTGGGGTCTTTTTGAGAGGGTCTCCCTGTAGCCCCAGCTGGCCTGGAACTATGTAGATCAGACTGGCCTTGAACTCACAGAGATCTGCTTGCCTCTGTAAAATCAGTTTTTAATTTTTCCTAAAGAATGGATGTTGGCATGAGTAATCTCTACTCAGGAAACGAATTAAATATTTATGTCTTAACAGCTAAGGACATCATAGCGGAAAAAAATGAAGATTAGTTTTTTTTAAAATTTACTTTTATTTTCTGTGTATAAGTGTCTTGCTTGTGTGTAAGTGCACCTGTGTTGTGCAATTCCCATGGAGGTCAGAAGAGGGTGTCAGATTTTCTGAAACTGGAGTTACAGATGGTTGTTAACTGCCATGTGGTTGCTGGGAATTGAACTTGGGTCCCCTGCAAGAGCAGACAGTGTTCATAACTGATGAGCCATCTCTCCAGCTCCAAAGATTAGGTTTTTTTTAAGGGCTAACATTAAAAGAAAAAAGTCAGTTTATATCTTGTATTTCGCAAAACTATATAGTTTCTTTCATAACTGTCTGCATCTTAAAAAGATATTTCATGGTAGTATATTGATTAAAAAACCAAAGTAGGGGCTGAGGAGATGGCTTAGTCAGTAAAGTGTCAGCATGAAGATCTGAGGTCAGATCTCCAGCACTGATGTAAAAACGTGGGTGTGGCAGCTCACACCTGTAATCCCAGTACTGGGGTGTCAGACACAGGTAGATTCCTGGAGCTTGCTGGCCCATCAGTCTAGTCAAATTGGAGAGCCCCAGGTTTAGTGAGAGACCCTATCTCAAAAAATAAGGTGTAGAGCAACAAAGAAGATATCCAGCACAAATCTCTCTGGCCTCCACATGCATGCACAGAGAGAAATTTTTTGAGCTCTTGCCTTTGAAAATAATAGAGAACTATTAATATTAATAATTATTAGGCTAAAATAAGCAAGTTTCTATACCAGATCACGGGCATTATCTCCAAACTTAAAATTTTGTTCCTTAGTAAAAAGTTTCTTTCTAGATGTTTGCCAGAGTAACTTACCCTAAACTTAAGACTTCTTGATATAAGTGTGCTTAAGGATCATGGCATTTTTAAAAAATCAAGTTCACATAAAAGACAAAGATTAATAAATTCCCCAAGAGGTAAACACTTCTGAAATGCTTAACTATTAAGTCTTAGACTTCACCTTTAAGTTAATGTATAGAATTAACTCAATTTAAACATCAAATAGTACATCAGGTAAAGAAGTTATTGCAGATTTTTTTGGAGTGAATCTACAAGTTGATGGCAAAATTAAATAACTGAGTATTTTATCATCTTTTTCTTTACAAACTTTTTCTTTCCAGGATAAAATTAATTTCTCTTAGGGATTGCAGTTTTAGAGACTTTATGGCACTTTCACAGGCTTTTACTGCATCTCCTTACCAATTCATTTTTTTCGTTTCATTGTTAATAGCTAGGTTTGATGTGGAATAGCTGTTTTACACTACTGGAAACAGTGAGCAAGAGTCTCCTTGATACTTTCAGGCTACTGATGCACCAAGGTCACAACATCAAAGTGTGAAAGGTGATCAAAGGCCAGTTACCTTTCTATGATAGGAAGTCACAAAGGCCATGAATTTCAAAAGCTCTTTTTTGTGTTACCTGAAGGTTTTCAATAAACACTATCTCTTGTGAGCACAGAAACATTTTCTTGTGTTAAGCTGACAAGGGCCCATAAAATTGTATTCTATGGGCTCCATAACAGCTTTTCTGCTCCCTGAAAGAATAGTATGATTCATACACAGTCCCAATTATATCTATTTTGCATAAATGAAATAGACTTTGTAGAAAAGGCTGGGTTCATTATCATGTAAAATACAGCCATTAGCAGAAAATGTAGTAATTATATTCCCAGACAGAACAGGATCAGACTCTGGCTACTGGGTTGGAGTTGGGCAATGAAAAAAGGAGCACTTCTAAAAGAAGAAGGCCTTCCTTCTTAAAAAGTTGCTCACAGGGGTAAATTAACAGCACACAAAAGAAAGATATGCCAGGCCATTCCTCCTGTCTGTCAATGGAGCAAAGCCTGCTATCCAGCTGACCTGCTGTGCCAATACCACTGCAGTAAGGATGGGCATGTGTTTGCTGTTCAAAGCCTTCCTTACACTATGTTGGGCCTGGGAAGTTTTATAGGACTCGCTTTCTCTCAATGCTTACTATGTTAACAAATAGTGGATGGGTTGTTAGTGTAACCAGATCCCACAACATGAAAGCAGCTGGTGATTAGTAACAGAATACATAGTGCAAAGTACCATGGGCTCCACAGTCAGGGGAGGTCAGAGTAAAACCCTTTCCTGTTTTAACTGTTCAATAAACATTTTCTTTGGTGGACACAGAATCAACATTTCCATGAAATAGACTCAAGTGTGGTCTAGAAGATCCAGAGAAGAAAGCAGTATGTCTAAGGAATGCCTACCTAATGCCTGGTACTGTCCTGTGTACTGAGGACATCAGGTGATAAGAGGACTCATCTTTCTTCCTTATAGGAGAAGATGGACAAAAGACTAACATACAAATAGCAGGCGAGGAGAGAAAACTAAAAAAGAGGAAAAAAGGGGAGAGGATGATGGTGGTGGTGGTTGGGGCTCTTGAGACATGAGTCTTGGGGACAGCTGTCTGAGGTATCTTTAAGCAGAGATTTAAATGATAAGAGGAACCATCTGGGGCTGGAGAGATGGCTCAGTGGTCAAGAGCATACACTGCTCTTGAAGGGGACCTGAGTACCCAGCACCCACCATGGATGGCTCATAACCACCTATAACTTTAGCTCCAGGGGATCTGACACCCTTTCCTGGCCTCTGCAGGCTTCTCCCACACAGCCATACACACATACATATAATTAGAATTTTTTTTAAAGGCATGTGAGCTTTTCAACCTTTAAAAGCCATATTTGTTGAGAAATATGGCAAACTAGACAGGCCCGATCTAGTCTTGTCATTCATGTGCTCTGCTCTGCTGTCTTTGTGTGTATGAGCACATTTTCAAGTATCAGATGATTGATCAGATTATATAAAGAGATTATCAAACAAAGTAATTCAGAATCAGAAAACAGTGACTAAAACCCAGTTGCCACCTTTTAGCTACTGATGCCTCTGATGTCATCAAATCAGCCTCGTTTTCCTGACTGTCACCAGTTTGTACCACCCCTTGAGCTGCTGTCGGTCATCAGAAACAAACATATCTCCAGATAAACAGAAGGTCTTTTATGAGCAGAGGTTCAGAAACACACAAAATTTCTTGTGTTTGCTGTCCTTTGCAAAAATAACCTGTTTGGTTCAATGATTTTCTAGCAACACCTTTAACTACATAATAAACACATTCTGCACACTTTGCATTCAGCTGTAAACAAATACACGGCAGCATACCTTTGTGCTTCTGGGCATGAGGTGAGCAATGGCAAATGAAATATGAATCTACTTAAAGTCTATAAGTTTCTTGGCTGTTCCGTTATATTTTTTATTATTCATAGATTTTTTTTCCCTTATAGGAACTATTAGAACTTTTACTATTTTCACTGCTGGCTAATTCCTGATAGCTAAAGCCATCATAGACAGGACTGACTTTGTCTTTATCAGGAATTCTCAGAAGCATATTGACATCATTGTCAAGTTTCACCATGGCTGGCTTCATGACTCAAATGAAAATCTATTTTAGAGAATATTAAGCAAGTACTGGAGCTTCATGTTTGGCAATGTACTATGTCAAAGAACATTTTAGGTATTTCTCTGAAATTGAGTAAGAGAGAAGAGGAAGATGAGAACAATGAAAATAAGATATCTACATAAAGGAACAATCCAGAATTGTCCTTCCCTCTTCCTAGAGTAATGGCTAATCTCAATTGTCAACTCGGTGCGAATTAGAATCACCAGAAGGAACAAACCTCTGGGCCTGCCTGTGAGGGAGATTCTAGATTAGGTTAACTGAAGTAGGAAGATCTACTCTAAATGCTGGTGGCACTATGCCATGGGTTGCAGTCCTGGACTGTATAAAAAGCAGAAGCTAGCTGAGCATCATTTTTCATCTTTTTCTGCTTCCTGACTGTGAATGCAGTGACACTGGTTTCCTCATGTTCCTGTTGCCATGTGTGGTGGTCTGGGTGGAACTGTCCCCCACAGGCTCCAAGTATTTGTCCTCAGTTGGTGGCACTGTTTTAGGAGGGTTAGGAGGAATAACCTTGCTGGAAGAAGTATGTCACTTGGGCTTTAAGAGTTCATAGGCTTGCCTCACTGTAAGTTTGTGGTCTCTCTTTCCTGGCCCTACTTGAAGTTGTGAGCACTGAACTTTCTGTTCTAGCTGTCTCTTGCCATGCCTTCCCCACCATGATAGACTCTTTACTCTGAAACTGTAAGCTCAATCAACTTTTCCTTCTGTAAGTTGCCTTGGTCATGGTTTACCACAGTGACAGAAAAGTAACTATTACATCATGACTTCCTTATCATAACGGACTGTAACCTCAGCCTGTAAGCCAAAATAAACCCTTCTCTCCTTAAGTTGCTTCTGTCAGGTATTTCGTCACAATAATGAGGAAGGTAATTAATATACAGGAAGATGTGGAATTGTGAAATACAGAACA